TGTTCGTACTTAGTGCATGTTCATCAGTATCTATAAAATCTTCCAGGCAATACTTCATGAATACCAAAAACAAAACAGTATCAAGTGTGTGTGTGTGCCTATCATCACTATTCACTAATACATTGTACATTCTATCAGTTTAAGACTTTATGTAAATGATAGAAAATTTCTGTTCAGTCCATACACTCCTCTAGTATTCTTCCCAAGTGAGCCCCATTCCCCTATTCTTTTAGTGGAGTGACAGAAGAACCCATTCTTCTCCAGTCCCAAGCAGTTGGAGAGCTTGATATGGAGAGTTCCACTTCAGTTCAGTGTAATCCCACTTGTATTGGACCTAGTTGACTAACCCCTCATTGGGAAGTGTAGTACAAGCCATACCCTACACTTTGGACTAGACCATTCTTAGTGATTATGCCAGCCAAATGGGTCTTGTGTTCCCCATGAGATGCAGGTCTTAGATGGTTCCTCTATGAACCTGGTTATTCTAGTAAGCATTTTTCCAATATTGTATGGCATGAGGAATTATTTAGCCACATTACACATACCTGATTTGCTGACTTGAGATATAATGGCCAATTGAACAATCTTCTATACTGCCAAATTGTGTGACACTTTGGTATCACACAGAACATCTTTTTCACAGTACCTTTTGTTCTCCCATCTTTATTGAGAAAAGAGTATTCCCTGCATGAGAAAAATGTAGGCTCCCATCAAGGCTTTTTTGTTATCTACACCAGCCCTTCCATTATATTATCAATGTGGAATTCTAACTCTGTATTCTGCAGAAGGTTGAGTACCATTTGTGAAATTAACATTTTCCTTACCTGAAAATGTATTTCAGATAGATACTTAGCTCTCAGCAGATCCACCCACTCTTTCTTCTGTATCCTAGTGTTTCTTTTACCTTGTTAAGAATGAGCATTTGTTGTAAAGCTAATACACATAGGGTTTACTGCACATGGTTTGTCAAAAGTTTAAGAAAGATGTGTAGGAACAAAAATACCACAAAACTACATTACTTTTATTTCAAAACAGTACTGCTTGCAGTCTAATTATTTATAGTAAATGTGGTTGAACAAGTAGTTTTGCAGGTGTAAAAGCAGTTTGTCAAGACAGAGTGTTATTGTTGTCAACTATAACTTATAGAAATGTTATACATATAATTTGTTATTGTGACTGTTGAGAGATTGAAGTTAACACTTTCGTGATGGGCATTCATTACTGCACGTGACACAAGGTTTTAGTGTCTTACATTCAAAATTTTATTAAACTACTTTTTCTTCATGTTATACCAATTAATATGGCATAAATGCTTAGCGAATAATCCATATTTTAATTGTATATAAGTTTAAGTTCTTAATTCTATTAGGAAATATTTTAAAATTCCTGAACTTCCCCCAGTTTTACACACGTGACACATTTTCTCTAGGTATCTTATCTTCTCTGTTTTATCAACTACCCCTTCAAAATATACAAAATTAAATGTAAATTGCTCCCTATAATATCCCTATAATTTTTATAGCCTTCAATTTTTGATTGGTTACAGAGCTATGAAATAGAAAATCACATCCCTCATGCCACACCTATCTGTCACAGGCTTTGTTAATAGTTCTATCTTACATTTAATTATATATTACCTATAACCAATAGAAAATCAAGGTTTTTATCTATCAAATGATGTATTGTATAATGTTGTGTTCTGAATGGAGAAATGTCAATTTCATTCAGAGTACAAGCATAGTTCCCGTAAGAAAGTTGACGACTAGCTTGGATGAATTTGTAATGGCTCTTGTCTCACAGTTAGAAAGCCAGAAAAATTTTGAGAGTTAGGGGAAAATTGTCTACTTTTTGCATGCTATTAGTCTATGTTCTTTGGTGCATTATTTAATTAACTCTTTCAACATGGGCTTGGTCAATTTGACCAACCACGTGAATTCTTTGTACTCATTTAAAGTCTTTATAGATTTGATACTTCTAACTTTCAATATAGTGTGTGTATCTTCACAAAATTTGGCAGTCTTTCAGTTAATATTATAAGTCTTTCACATATAAAAAACATATTTTTTAGTGAACTATTTTAAATAAAATAAAATAGAGATTTCTCCATGAATATATTTAGTATTTGTTTTGAATAGTCTGTGTGCAAAGTAATTTTCATGTTAAAATTAAAAATACTTTTTCTCATCTCAAAAATCTCAAATTTCCTCTATGTAATCCCTAAAACCTTTTAAATGCATTTAAAACGTTTTTTTTCAGTAAAACTTTATAGTTTATCTGTTATTTTCTCTACCATATCTCAAAATGGGATCTGTCAATTCTATCGACCTCGTAACCAAAAACAAAAAATCTAAATTATCCATTTTTCTTTCTAGAATGACTTCAAATTGTAACATGAAACTACATTCATTTATCCTAAGTAGCTCTAAGTTCGTAACAGTATACATCTATTTATAATTAATATTTATTGTTTTATTGCCCTTTGAACCATCTTTAACTACTATCTGCATCATTATAAGTTGTAAATCACTTGGAGAACGTGCAAGTCACGTTATACTATCTAATTACTTTACTCATGAGCTGCTCGCATGCGTGTCTTGTGAACCATTTTAAATATATTATTATTCTTACTTATTTTACCTAATCTAGTGTTAAATAACTTAAAAAGATTGTATTTTTAGATTTTAGTTACTTTTATAATAATAAATAGAAAATAAATATGAAAAACAAGAAAGAAAATACTTGCCCAAGCTTCTTTTTTCTTGCTCTTGATTGTCAATGACAGGTAAGCCTTCTTTTTTATGCTAATTGTAGTAGCACACCAAATACTTTTTATTTAATTAAATAATGCACCAAAGAACAAATACTAATAACATGCAAAAAGTAGAAAATATCCCCTAACTCTCAAATTTTTTCTAGCTTTCTAACTATGTGACTAGAGCTTTTACAAATTCATCCAAGCTAGTCTTTAACTTTCCCACGGGAACAATGTTGCTACTCTGAGTGAAATTGATGTCTAACTGCTCAGAACATAACGTTATACAATACATCATTTGATAGATGAAAACCTTGATTTTCTATTGGTTATAGGTAATATATAATGAAACGTAAGAGAAAACTATCAACGAATTCTGAAAGTGAGAATGTGACAGGTGGGTGTGGCAGGAGGGGTCTTATTTTCTAATCGACAGCTCTGTAACCAAACAAAATTAAAGACTATATAAATTATGGTTTGTCTGAGCAATAATGATTTTATAGAGAGTAACTTACATTTAATTTCCTACTTTTTTGATGGGTGGTGGATAAAATAGGGATGATGACATGCTAAGAGAAAATGTGTTACGTGGGTCACACTAGTGGAAATTCAGGATTTTTTTTAATATTGCCTTGTAGAATTAAGAACTTAAAACTTGTATACTATTAAAATATGGATTATTAGCTAAAATAAAATTTATGTTATACCAATTAGAATAGCCAAAAGTAGTTTAATAAAATTTTGAATGTAAGTCACTAAAACCTTGTGTAAAGGGTACCCGTGCAGAAAGAGTTAATACACTTCATGTTGTTTTAGTATTTTAGGCTTAGATTTCTTTCCTGCCAAAAATGTCAATTTAATCTACATTTTACTTGCAATTTTTATACCAAATGGCATGCAGTTTTACATATATTATTGTTTTTATGTAAAAAAATTTCTGTTTTGTGATACTAAGCCTAGTTGGGCAAATTTATTTTCAAAATAAATTCTTTTCTTAAAATAACTAAATTGTATACTTTATATTTTTAGGTCTTTCCTCCAAGCACTTTAGTAGCTCAGTAGTAAGTCTGAGAGCTTATAATGCTCAAAATTGGGTTTCGATATCTATGTTGGGCAGGGCACATATTGCAAATTGTTTAGCTTTGTGCTTAACTACAAACAAACTTTCTTCAGTACTTAACTAGTCTCACCAGTGTTTTAAAGTAGCTCTTCCATGAGAATGCTTTTAAGAAATGTAATCACTATTTCTAACTATGATTGTTTAGTCTCCTAAAGCTTTACCAAGTTTTTTACTTAGAGGGTTATATGTACCTGCTTTATGTATTTTCCTGTCATCTCCGATGTTGTAATATACATATAATAAACTATGAATGTATAGTTAGGTTGGGATTATTATGGTATATGACCATAATATGTTTTATAATGCAAACCAATCAGAATTTAAAACTTGTGATGAGTAGATCAACATTTGAATATTTTCTCTGTCTGGGAGATGATTGACACATCTCTGTGTGTATATAAAAAATTAACTATACAGAAATGTAAGAAGATTTTAATTCAGAACTAAAAAGCTTTATGGCACACACTTGCCAGTATTTTTGTGAGAAGGTTTTTCATGTATATACTTTCTGGTCTTTTTTATCAGATGTTGAAGAGAAACCAGTGAATTTATTTTTCTAGAACTAGCATGGCAGAATAAATAATGTATCTGTTTATCTTGTTAAGAAGAAAAAGTTTATAATTTTTGTTTTTGAGTTTTGTTTATATTAGATTTATAAAATTGTATATATATATATTTTAGTTTAGTTTTATTGTTGCTAATCAAACTAATTTTCAATGACCTTTCATTTTATTTTCAACTCTGAAGGGTGAAGATCAGAGAAAATTACAAATAATATATTAATTTTTTTATTATTTGGGAAAATATGACAGAACTTGGAATATATATTACCTGTGGGTAATAATGAAGTGTTATCCTTTTATAATAGATTTGGTAGTTTAGTGTAATAGTATTTTTGAATAAATAAGCATTTTTTAATTACTCAAACATCAAAATGGTCCAACTTAAAAAGTATATATTCAAATATGGCACAAATAATTATAAGTTAAAATCTGTAAAATAAATCAAAGAATATTTCACAGTTGCTTTATAGATGTTACTTTGTAATTATAGAGATCTCTCTCATATTAAATAGTTATTTTCTTTCGTGGTAAAAAAATTAAATTTTAAATTTAGTATTTTTTATAGTGGTTTTCGTTTGAACATCAGTCCTGTCCATAGTAAACTGAGTTTGTATGAAGGTTTATGGGAAGAATTTCAAATGCTGTGTCATATACCTTGTAAGGCAATATCCAGTGTTGTTTCATTGGCTGACCTTGTGTATAATGGAATGGACATTAGTGGAGAACATGTTAATCTACTGGTTGGTGTACGAAAGGTGAGAATTCTGTCATGTATTTGTTAAGCCTAATATGTATAATGCTTTTTTAAACTAATTAGAATTTCTTCTTGAAAAAATTATAAACTATTCTATAAGTTCTGCTGAGATAATGCACCTCAGAAAAAACTTTGTACTGAAACAAAGAAAAGAAACACTTATGATTATAATTGAACACATTGTGGTGGAACACTATAGTTCTAAAGGTTAATACATACAAAATGTTATAAATATATACATGTTATGTAAAATCTTGAAATTAAAAGCTGCCTTTTTCATTTTGAAAGTATTTGTGCATTACTAAATTTTGTATTTGTATCAGATATATTATGATAAACAGAAGATTGTTGAAAAATATTAAATTCCTTGCAGGTAATTTCAACTTTACTCTGATTTAAAATTAATTTTATAACTCAGTATGACAGTTGTTATTAATTATATTGCAAACTATATTTGACACTTTTTATATCAGTTCAAAAGTTAGTGATAATTATCTATCTAAGGTTGTTACCAATAATCGTCCAAAACAGCATTTCTCAAACTGGGGGTTCACAAGGGTTCTTTAGAGGATCCGTGGGTCATGTCCAAAATTTCATAAAAATATTTTAAAAAGTATGATTTATAGAATAAATTATATTTTTCACATATTCAAATATTTAATTTTGGAATACAGCTTTTAATTTACATGGAAAATTTTTTTTCAAAACAAAATACATTAATAGGTTTGGGGGTATCCATGAAAAAAAATTAAATTAAAAAGGGTCCTTGGGTTACTAAAGTTTGAGAATTGCTGGTCTAAAGTAAAAGTATTTTAAAAGAACATTTCATCTGCTGATGAAGTGGGGGAGATACATGAAGGTTATACAGTTTACATGTACATATATTGTAATTGGAAATAACTGGATGAGACTTTGGTAATTTGAAGTTTAACTCCATTTGGCATATAATGATTAAATATAATTGCTGTGAACCACTAGTTTTTAAATAGGAATTAGCATCTATCTAAGAACCACTGGGAAATATATGTCTCAGCTGCAGTGAAAGGGTTAAATGTGTATGTAACTAGGTATTTAGTGTATATTGTACTAAATTGGTGCATTCTACACTACATATATATACAGTGTTGGGCATATTACTGAAACAAAAGTAACTCATTATTATTTTTATTTTTCAGAAAAAGTAATATATGAAGGTTCTTACATATTAGTTAGTAAAAATATAACATGTTTTATTATTCTTTATGTTTCTTTCTCTTGTCTTATCCTGCAAAACAAATTTTGTGATTATTCACTTTTTTAACTATACCTTTGAAACTTAATTTATCAATTTCTGTTATATAGTTTTTGACACAGTGTATGCAAGTAGTTAATCTGATTCCACAGTGAGTACACCTGCAAGTAGCCAGATAAAAATTAAATAAAGTTTGTATAAAAGCCATTTTATGAACTACTTTTTGTAATTTGTGTTGGTAATTTCTCAAAGGAAAATCATATTTGACACATCATTTAGGTATTTGATTTGTTTAGAATCTAAAAACTGAAACTTACTTTGGCTTTATAAAAGAAAAAAGCAATAATGTACAATAGATGCATGTTACAACAAAGAGAAGGTTATGAGATGAACTGATTTCTTTTTTTTTTGTGACTAGTAACTCTAATATTATTACTCTCATTACAAATCTAACATGCTATAATTCATTGTTATTGACAAAAGTAATATTACTATTATAGTAATGACTTACTTACAATAATGTTAACCCCAATTCTGCATATATTATGCTTATCTTTAAATATGGCACTGAAAATATCCATAGTTGTATTTGCTTAGACTATCTTAGCCATCTCCAAACTTTCATGTTAATATATGTTTTATGGCACCCAGGTTTCCACTGTTATCCAACATTATATGATCATCGTGTACTGGATGCAACTGATCATGGTTGTGATTATGTTGGTGAGAGTGATGCACATAATGCACAAATAAATGAAAATTACTATACTGGACAGATTAAATAAATAATAATAACAAAGTTTATTTCAAATGTATATCATATAATGCACAGGCAACATATATTAATATTTTGCTTGCTCCTTCAATTAAGGTCTTCTGTAGTGAAATATGATGACATATATGCTTCCATGTATCACCATATATATATATATAATATTAAATATGTTGATTAAGATGATACATTTTTCTATGATTATTTATAATGCAATTAACTCAAATATACTTTGGTTACATGGAAGACCATACATGTTAGAGGTCTCCATCTTTTGAATTATGATGTGATAGGATTACAAACTTTATAAATGATTCACCTTATCTGTTACTTTATTAATGCAATTTTTCTTTTAAATTTGATGTAGACTATTTTGGGACTTATCAAACTTTTTCTATACTTAGTTATTTAGCTACTAAAGAGGTTTTATAGGGTTTCTTGAAATTTCCATGTATGAATGTATAATATAATGAAAATATTACTTTATACCAAGTTTCTGATTTGTTTGACATGGATGAAACTAAGTAAAACGTACTACACTTTCACATTAAATTTTTTTTAATGATGAATTCTTTTACAAATGCTTAATGACCAGCATGAATGTATTACACTGACAGTGCCTCATAATCTTATTCTAAGGGAAGGATTAAGGTCTGTTATGTATATTATTTAGAGAATTAACCATTTTGTAAATTTCATGAGGTGTATTAATTTTTTTATTTTAGCAAACTGAATGTTTCATATTAAATATTGTATTAGCATTTTGTTTGCAAAGTTTGACATAGCCACTTATGTTATACAAGATAAGTAGTTATTAAAATTTGCAATTACAGATAACATCAATACAGCCTATTTGCACCAAAGATGGCCGAAGTTTACAAAAAATAGACTGTCATGTGTTTGATCAGACTTACCCTCTAATAGTTATTTCAATGTAAGTATCAACAAACTCAGGTAAAAAAAAATCATCATCATTATTAATATGGTATTCTATATCCACAGTTATCAAAACCTTAATTAAAATTTGTTCTTAAATGTTTATAAGTAATATTGGCAGAGAGATGAAAAATAACTTGGGTTCTTTGTTTTTGGTTTTTACAGAGTTTCACCATTATTTCAGCTTTTAAAAATTACTTATCTATTTCAGGTAAATATTAATAAACATTGAGTATGTTATATTAAAATGATTTTGAATATACAAATCAGCAAGCCAAATGACAATCACAGTTTATATAAATTTTCACTGGAATGTCATGTATCAGAATGACATTTTGTAGGCAGTATGATTCCACTGAAAATTTACCACTTTTGAGAAGGGGTATGTAATAGCCCTTTACAACCAAAATATTTCTATACTTAAATCATAAAAATGTGTTCATATTGGGGATTTAGAATTTCTTAGAAGGGATATCCTTTTTACATAATGGCATTGAAAACAAAAGAATATGAATCAATTTTTGGAACCAGGACCATTCCAGAAAGGAATCTGCAACAAGTTATACTCCAGCCATGGTAAGCAAAATGCAGTGTCTTGTAACAAATGAGAAACTATGAACACAAAGGTCAGTGACATAAGCCATCCAATTATCCCATACAACATTATCAAGAAGGATCTCCATTTGGAAAAGTGACACAAGTCACATGTACACAAGTTGCTTTTACAACATTACCAGGAAAGGAAGACCAACTATAGAAAACTGTATAAATAATATTTAGCTGTAAAAAATGGCAGTGTTTGCTGACACTCAACAGAGTCATATGTCTACCTTGATGACTATAACAAGCTTCATGTTCTACCAGTCATGTTGTGAAATGTTTTTGAAGGGATCATATCTAAATACTGTACCAGAAGAGTAGTTATGAAGATCAAGATGAACTCTGCTTACTATCAAACCAATCAGCTGGGTATGAAAATGAGACCAACAGAGTATGGGCTAACCAAGTTAAGGCTTCCTTTCAATCATGACATACATCAAGTAGCTGAAAAGTTTATAATATTCCACATGAAAACATACAGGTCCCACCACCAGCAGCAGCAGCTATGGATTTTAGTTATCTGATTGTTGAAAAAGATGTTGAGAAATGTTGCCTTTGTGCACTAGATGGATTGTGAAAGACCTACATGTAGGAATGATGTGCCTTGGATTTGACAGTCTTTCAACAGAACGTTTTTGCAGTGAAAACTATGTTGCATGGCTATCTATCAAGGTGCATGATGATGTGTACTATAACAACATGGTGAAGTTCCAAAATTACTTTAATATGACATACTCAACCTTTGTATTACAATAGTGAGATTCATGTTAATACTGATTTTTCTCTGGTCAACATTAATTTACTCTTTGTTCCTACTGATCTGCTCCCAGTTTTCTTTTGTAAAGTTAAATACCTAAAAATTCATAGGACTTCTGAAAACAAATAAAAAAAATAAAGAACCCAAATAATCAAAATGTGTTTTTATAATTGTGCTATACGTTAATTGTTACACATGAGATAAAGGTAGATTAAAATTAATATCATTGTATCATGTTAGTCTAAAATATTTTATTTGTAAATAAGCAAAAAGAAATAGTTCATCAGGCTTATGAAGTAAATCAATACTTTTGTTTATTGTTTCTGTATAATGCTGTTGAATTGGTTTTTAGAAAAACCTCTTGACTTTTTTATCTTTTTCCTTATTTTGGCTCTTATGAAATTTCACTTAGACATTAGTCTTTGATTTTCATTAGTTTGGAAAAGAGTTTAATCCTGCAGTGTTCCTCCTGGTACTGATTTCACTCTTTGACTGTTATCTAATACTGAGAGCATTAAGTTCACAATAAATTGCTCTTTTAAACCATAATTATTGTTATTAGGAACTTTTATACACTGCTTAAAGCAGTTGAAGGGTAACAAGTGGCTATGACAAAGTAGTACCACTGTTATAATGTCAGTTTCCCTAGTTAGTTCATTGTTATGAAGAATCGAGCATCTGATGGTCAGTCATGTGATCTGAAATCCAAATGATAGGTCATCTAGCTTTATTTTATATATATATGGTAGTGTCTCATACAATCATCCTCCAGTGGGACAGTGGTAAGTTTATAGTCTTACAAGGCTAAAATCTGGGGATCAATTTCCTGCTGTGGACTCAGCAGAAAACTCTGTGTGGCTTTGCTCTAAAATAAACTCATGAAGTTTTGTCATACTTGTAATTTTGAATTGAGTATAGGGTTCATTGTACTCTAAAGTGTCACATGAACCATAGAGCTCAGAGAATATGCTAATATAGAGGATAATTGAATAAATGGAAGCCAGTCAGTCATAACAGGCTGTTACAAGTTGGCTCAAAGTGTCACAAAGTATTAGCAGAAAACAGTGATGGTTTGGGCACCTGGACAAGGCAGACCACCATTCATTACACGAGAGCAACCACTATTAGTTTATCCTGGCTCACTACACTTGTAAGATATAGAATTCTAGATTGAATCATACATTTGTAGCTGAAACTGAGTGTCATATTAGTTTACAGCTGGTTAGAAACAGACTTATTAAGACTAGTTTATATGCCAAATGCCCAGTCATATGCATTCCATTCATACAATGGCTTGATAAAGCTAACCTGCAATGGTGCCAAGATATGTCCGAAGAACCGACAGCATGTGGAGTAATATTCTTTTTTACAAAGTAGTCTGAAACTAGATAATAGATAAGTTAAATTGAATCCTTTTCTTGTTCTAACAGCACATAGGACCAGTGCTTTGATGAGAATGTTTTCCCCTTCTTCCTGGGTGGAATGCCAGTCCATCACAGGGTAATTTTCAGCTATTGAAATTTCCAGTAGGTAAAGTATCTTGCTCAAGGACACAGTGACTAGGTGTGAATAAGACTTGCCACCTTTTCATTATTAGTTCAATGCATTAACCACTAGGCTATTCTGCCTCAAACTAGACAATAGGTTTATACTTATTTGGAGAAGATATGGAACCAGATCCACACCATATTCATGCAAGAACTTAACACATATGACAGTGGTGATAGGATGGTATGAGCATTGTGAACTTCATACATGGGAGATTTCTGCATATCTAGAGCCCAGAAAGATCAATTTGGTGGTGGTGGGGGTACATTTGTGTGTCAGGGTCTCACCATGATCAGCAATGAAGATCAGTCTTACATTTATTACAGACTATAGCATGGGCTTCCATCTTTGCTAAAGGAGATTTAAATTGACTCTATAGAGGTATTGCGAGCTATAATTTCCCAGAGGTGTCAAGAAAATTAATCCCTTTTGTCAAGTGCTCTGCTCTTTTTCTTATGATTACATTTTTAAATTGGCAGGAAACCAGAACCTGTAACAATGTTGAATGCACTTATGAACAGACTCATTTGAATGGACTGGTTCTTCAAAACTATATTTTGAAAAATGCCTGGCCATAATTTTTTCATTTGTCCATTAATATTATAAGTATAACAACAAATAATTTACTGCTAGCAGGTAAACTTTTCACTTTACAAAGTGAAATTTAGTAAACTAATGCATAACATACATGGATATGGTCTTGGAAGGGGTCATATGTTCTACTCGTGCTCAGGTTACAAGTCACAACCTTCATGTAGTAATAAACATAGTATTTTACCATACTTCAATATTAACAGTCATAAAGGAAGAAGTCCTAAAGTACCTGATTGTTCCTGTTACACACAAGAATAGACCTAAATACAAATAAAGAATTCAAGCAACATTGTAAAATTTGCAATGTATGAAGAGTGAAAAGAAATATATTTGGTTAATGGACAAATGAAAATTGGCAGAAAGAATAACTTGTATATATATATATATCTATTAGATTTTTAAAATCTGACAAAACTATATACAAGTAAAAAATGTTCATGTGGTCGGTCTCTGGGGTTGAGACCGTATTGAGAAAATTAACCATTTTGCTATGAATAGGTAAAAGTATGTATGTCATGGTCTTTTACAGTTACATTCAAAACTTAATTAAACTAATTTATTACCAATGCATATCAATAAAGTTGACATTGAATATGTTTATAGATCAAATTTTTATAACATAAAAGTTTCAATTTCATATTTTTAAAAGTATATATATATAAATAAATGCCAAATTTCACTTTCTATATATCATATGACACTTCTAAAATAAAACAAACAAAAAACTGTGGCAGGTACTTAGTTTTTAAAGAAAAGATGAACTTTTCTAAACTGGGGTGGTCAGGGATATTAATACTCTCTTTGCCCTGCTCACAAAAAAGAACATTTTGCTAAAATCGTGGAGTTAAAAGTAATTTCAGAGTTAATTCATAAATCTAATCAAAAATACCTTACGTGTGAAAAAAAAAAGGTGCAAGCCAAAAAAGGATTCAGCATGCAACTTAAGGAATGAAATCAAAATTGGGGGACAAAGTGGTAGCTACACTTATAGCATTGATAAGAATTTTACAGCAAATATTCATTCATTAGTTAGCCAGGTCTTGTTTTTTGTTAAACTTAGAGCATGATGGTGGGTAAAACAAAATATGTGGCCTAGCAAATATGTGGCCTTTTGATGCAAAGAAAATGAAAAGAAAGAACTTCAAACAAAAGTGGAAATTTTATATCTTGTGTATTATGTAGTGGATTGCTTTGTATGTGAAGTAATGGTCCAGCAGAGCACATTCACTGAAAATATGTGATAGTTTGGATTGCCACAGTCTGAGCTACAGAAAGTGAAAAATCGCTAAACTATCACTCCTGTTAATAACACGCAGTTCATCCTGCAGGTTGTTTTGGATGCATGACACACTACAATGTGACTACAATGAACATTGTTTTGAAATTATCCTTATGCACACATCAAATTGCCCTAATACATAAGAATTATGTTACTTTGAAGATTTATTAGCATCTTATACCTAAAAATCATCAAGCACAACCCTAAAAAATCAAAGCAT